AATAGCCAGAAAGCACCAGGGCTGTAAAGTGTCGGGAGCAAAATCTGAGCCAGAGGTTTCCATTTAGCAAATATTATATCTTGATACTGGATCACTCTGGTGTTAGTGATTTTAGGAGTGAACTTTAGCATTTTTTGTATGAAACATTTGCATTCTCCCTCATTTGCTTTCAGCAGTTTCACAGAGCTTTGTGTTGCACTCACACAGAAATGTCTTATGAATTCTGCCATGATTTTATTTGCTTCTTGAGTTTAAGATGGTAAAAAGTATTTTGTATAACCTCTTGCTGTAGGAGTAAGGTTCCCCTGGGTATGTTCCTCAGATCCTCTGGATCATCTGGGTGAAGGAAAATCTCCAAGGCTATCAGTCATGTTTTGTGGCTGGGGACACTGTGTTTAGCTCAGGAGGCTTTTGTGGTTTGATTCACCAGGTCACCCAAGGAGCTGGTGCTCCTGCAAAATGAGCAGGAAAACTTGAGACTGGATTTGCTAGGCTGTAGTCCTGACTTTGATGATCCCCCTCTGGATGAAAGCATTGACTCAGTTTCCTTGTCTGTAAAATGGAAGACCAGGATTGTTCTCCCATTTTAAGAATTTGAAGAGTGGATGAGAAGCTCAAAGCAGAAGATGTTTTTCTGTAGGACACGTGTGAAGGAAGCTTGAAAGGGATCTGCGTTCAGCACTGTGAGGTTTATTTGCTGTTTCAGCTTGTTTGTTCTTTCATCAGGCCATTGAACAATAGCTAATGAAAGGGGATGACCTTATTTTTTTTTTCCCAGGATATTGCTGCTCTTGTGTCTTTGAACCAATTAACGCAGCAGCTTTGTGTGTGGAATGCAGCAGCATTGGGTCCTCCCTATTAGGACTTTGATGACTGCTGCAAAAGCAAAAATGTGGCTGAATGGGGCTTTCATTATTTCATTATTCTCTAAATTTATTTTAGGCTGCTAAAGAATTAATGTGAATAATTTTCCCATTTCACCATCTGCTTTAGACTCCATCTCAAAGGGTTCCCAATGAGCATTGCAGGCAAAACCCTTTAAAAATGATCCTCTCCATATTTCCCGCACTCAGCAGTCTGCTAATGTGGCCAATAGATCTAGGTGATGGGCCTGCATGATTTAGGGAGCATCATTAGAGTTATGATGAGCTATGCAACTGTCTTGTTTATTCACACTTAGCAATTTCCTCGCAGTGCCTTTTGTCTCAGGAAGTCTGTTTGCATTTAAGCTTTTGCAGAGAGAGCAGTGCCAGAGGCACTCAGTGGGTGAGACATCCACCTTGGGCTCAGGAGCACGAGCTGCTGCTCTGCCTTGCACCTTATTTCCCTTGTGGGTCAGGCTGGACATGCTCAGGAGCTTTGGGGAGCTCTCCACACCTGACCCAGGGGGAAGTGCATGTCTCCTGCTGACGTTCAGAGGGTTACTCACAAAGAGTTTACATGTCTTGACTGTCAAGTCTCTGTGTATTTCCCACTCCAAACTCTTGGGTCCAAGGGTTTTTTTTTTTATTATCCAGTCTTTGCCTAGCAAGTTTGAACTCCACTGAAGCCTCTATTAAACATCCTTGCCATGATGCCTCTCAGGGCAGCCCATGACTGCCCTCCTTCCTTGTGAGGAGGGGGAGGAGGATGATCAGGAAGCTGAAGTATTTAACCTGCCTGTCAAACAAAATTATTCATGGCAGGTGAGTGGCTGAGCAGCATTTTGCAAGGTTGCTGTGAATAATACATAACATGGTCAGTCCTGGCATGGGAGTGTTGCTCTCACTTTAGAATAATTCCCATGCCTGGAATAAAAACGGTGCACATCTTCCTACCTCTCATTTCCTGTGATAGGTGTGCAGGGATGTTTGATGCTCAGGTGTGAGCAGCTGCAGCTCTGCCCCTTGGGGCCGTGGCTGGGGTGTGAGCAGGGCAGGCAGAGGAGCAGAGCCTGAGTGGTGCTGGCAGGCTCTGAGTCAGCCCATGCCCCTGGGATGAGCACACAGGGATTTATCAGCGTGGGCACAGCGGGGTTCTAACGAGGTTACACAGCTCTGGGATGGCACCTAACTCACCTCCTGCCAGCCTGGGACCAGGGGGAGATAAATGTGCAGCCGCCCCTGGCTGTCCCCTGTAGGTTTTGTTGGCAGAGCAGAAGACAGATGGATGGTCACGCACATGCTCAGAGTTCTCCCCTAAGTATGATGTCATTCTGGTATTTTATATTCAGAGTAAAATTTTATAATGGCACTATTTCCTTCCTTCAAGCAAAAAATTAGTTGAGCAGATCCTCTATTTTTATGGAAAGCCTGCAAGTCTCTTACTTTGCTGGGAATTGGATTTTTTTTTTTTTAATTCTTGAAAGGCATTACTTTCACATGCAAAATTTTGGCTGAAATAGAGTTTTACCATGTTTTTCAATAGATTAGATAAAGGTATCTGACTTTTAATTATACATAGAAAGTCTTAGCTTTATATTTTGAACTACTGGCATCATATAAATTAAAACAAACATGAAGCATTCCAACTTCTTTATTGATATAAATTTTGTTTTCACTTGCTCTTTCCTCAATTAAGCTGCATTAGCTTTTTGCTCACCCTGGAAATCCACATGGTAATAAAAGGGAATACAAGTGTGCTTAAATCCCACCAGATCCATCACTTCATAAACAGCCACACATCTGTCATGGTTTGAAAAGTGCATTTTGATCTCTGTTTTGTTGATGCTGACATAAATGAGTCGCAATAATCTTGGTGCAAACTCTGTAAGTCAAAGAGTGTCTGTCCACTGACTTAATGACTTTGGCTCAAGCATTTTGATATACAGAAAAAAAAAAGATTGAGAGCCCTGGCTGACCTGAAAGGTGCCATTTCCAGGAACAATCCATGAGAGGTATCAGGAGAGAATGGATGTGATGGACAGAGGGGTAAATAGAGTGGGCGTTACAGCTTTAACATATGGCTGCATATGGGCACTGGAGTGAGGCCTTTAATTTCACATTAGGATTCTTCTCATATTTGTTAGATAGAACAATATTAACCTTTTGAATTTATTTAGAAACTCATTAGTGCTTTTTTCTATAGTCCATTCTTTTCCTGATTAGCTCTTCTCATTACAATTCAAATTTCTTTCTGCTACATTTACCACATTGTCCTGCTTTCTCTCATCTCTATTGTTCCTCAGCTTAATTTATTGAAGCAATGAAAGAGGAAGGGGGGATCGGTTGACACAGCAACCTTCCAAGCCTTTGGTGTTTGAGGAGGAAGAGAGGAGAAGGGAAACACCCCTGAGTTTGCCTTTTCCTCCGGGAAAAGGGGTGGGAGGATGTGGCAGCAGTTTCTATACAAGTGTGGGATGCGAGCATGGTTCAGAGTGGAGCAGCAGATGAAAACCTTCTCTGGCCCCGAGTCCATGCCCAAAGGTGCCAGCCGGGCACTGAAGTGGCCACAGTGACATATCTGCAGTAACCCTACAGCCTTGCAGGGCTGGGCTTTCCTGCTTTCTCACTTCAGCCGTTGCTCAGCCCCAGAGTTTTAAAATTAAATTAACTCTGAGGGTTCAGCATCCTCATCCTGTCCTGGAAACGTGGAGCTAATGCTCCTCTGGCATCCTGTACCTAAGGTTGTTTTAAAACTTTAGCAGCATTTCTCTTGTGTACTTTTCCTTGGGAACAAGATAGAAGTTGGGAGCTGCTGTAATTCCTCTGGACTTCCCTCAGCTCCAGTGAATGTGAATTCATGCTCTGATAGGTTTTTTTAGTGAGAGACTTGAGCCTGCCCCTCTTTTGGGGGAACTGGAGTGGGGAGATGCTTGGATTCATTTGTGTATTTACTACCCTGATTCGCAAACTATTTTTTGTTAGGAACCTAATTTTCTGTCCTGTTTTTCTTTCCTTTAGTATGGTGCTCATTTCTCAGCAGCAGTGCTGCCACATCCCATGTGCCTGTGATTAAAGCTGCATTCACTCCTGACAAGAGATGATTAAATACAGCCAGATGATTTCAGCCATCCCAGCCGTCGTGGTTCTCTGATTATTGGTGTGTTTGAACAGCTCACAAATGTGAATAAATGTGAATGAATGTGTTTACGCAGCAGCTATTGTAAAGCAGGGAAGTGCCAGAGTGTTTTATTTGGGGAACAGAGGGATTAACTCAGCAAAGGTTATATAAAGAGGTTTTGGCAAGGCCACAAAAAGAATCTAAATTTCTGAGTTTCTACTCCAATGCCTTAATCATAAAATCATCTTTCCTCTGAATTCTTTTCCGTCTGTGGTAATTATAGTTTTGGCTGGGTTTATGTCCTTTATAAAAACCTGTCTTTCACACATCTTGTGAAATTGAAGAAAAGAAAAAAAAGAGAAGATAAAACAATCATAATTTTCCAAGTGTGTAATTCTGGATTCCAGCAGAGACCTAAAACAAGTAAGGTAATTATTCCACTCAGTTCAGCACCATTTGGAGAATTAGGCTATTTCGTGAATTGTAGTTTTAGAATAAGACACATGGACTGGAAAAAGTTCAATGAGCAACATATAAAATAAAAAAAAAGCTTGCAAAAATCAGCTGAAAGAAAAGGAACTGGATGTAAGTGAAGGTGGTTGGAGTAAGATGGGAAAGGTCAATGATGTTGAGAGAAGTTTAAAAAAAATGAAATAAAAAGAAAGATTTTATTATTTCCTTTAGTTTGTGAGGAAAATGCCAGGAAATATTTTCAGGGCAAAATTCATTCTTGGTGCAAACTAAAGGTAAAAAGACTTTCCCAAGGATGAGTTTGGCCCATGGGCAATTACAGGAGGTCAGTCAGGGGAAGCTGCCAGGGAGAGGTGGAGCCAGCTAGTTAAAGGCTAGGCAAGACCATACAAGCACATTTGTTAGTGATGGTTAATTAACTTGTTCCTGGCAATCAGCCACCAGGGCAGGAGGTGGACTTAATTTGCAAGTCCTGATTGCCAAGAAAGTCACCCATAATTGCCTGTGATCTTGCAGCTTTCTAGTTTTCACCTTGGTCTGGTGTTCCCCTATAAATGGTGCTTATGGGGTTTTTTTTGTTTTTTTTTTAAGGTCTCTCTCCACAGGTTTTTTTGCTTCATAAAACATAATTTTCATACTTATTGCTTCTGATGTGATTGAACCTTTGCTGTGGCGTGACTTTGGGTGCACATCTCGACATTTCTGGATCCATGGTGATGTTGTTGTGTTTGGGGCATTTTGGGAAGGATGTTTCATTTTGATGGGGATGAGCTCATTGTCTGAGCAGGGAGTGTTATCCCATCTGTGAGACAGGAGCAGCTGTACCTGAAGAAAGAGACTGAGGGGAGTGGGTTTTGCTGAACTGGAGAGGAATAAAAGCAAGAGAATGATATTAGCGTGTAATTTTTGGTAGTTGATGCAGCGCATAATAACTTCAATTTCAAAGCTTCTCATTCCCCTCACTTTGTACCTTATTAAGACTCCAACCTATATTTAATGGTGGGAATATCACTTTTTGCTTCCTTAATTCTCTGTCTACAATTGATCTGCATAATCTGCTAAACCTGCACTTGGCTCTCTGAGGTGTGTGAGCCTTCTCACTGCACTCTGAGAGGCACAAAATTATAACCTGAGCCTTCTCTTACAGTGTGTGTTATTGTGGTTCCCTGCCTCCTTGTGCTACAAGCAGAATTACAGAAGAGTATAAAATCTTATTTTCAAATATTTATGTCATGTTCTCAAGGGTGTTCCCAGCATGCCAGGCAGGTTTCTGCTCAAACTGCTCAATTTCTTTTCCTTCACATGGGATGTTCTGTGTCCAGACACAGAAAGAAGTAAGTATTTTATTATTTAAAAAGGCATTCCAATCCAATTGATTGTTTTATGAAACAAGTTTTCATAAATATTAGACTTTGGAAAAGGCCTCCTTTGGCAAACTTAGTCTGGATATTTCTACCCTTGATATATTGTTGAGTGCTGACTCCTTTCATTTTTCTGTCTGTAATTGTGCTCTAGACCTTTCCCAGAATATTTCTTCATGGTGTGACTCATCCAGCTTCCAAAGTGCAGCTTACTCAAACTATTCTAAGTCTGTTTATCCAGGCAAATATTTGGACATGTAAAACAGCAGTAAAGTGCTACGATGTCTATCAGGGCAGGAGAGCACACAAAATCTCTGATATTGTCAGCCTCTCCCCTGTGTGTTTTTTCTGGAGTTAATTGGCAGAGAGCAGTGTAGAAGTTTGATTCACACCCATACCCGTGCACAGGCAGTGAGTGAAAGCTTTGCACAGGTTTGAGCTCCATTTTCTCAGCCCTAAGTTTGGTTTGCACAGGTTTGAGCTCCATTTTCTTAGCACTAATTCTGGTTTGCACAGGTTTGAGGTCCATTTTCTTAGCACTAATTCTGGCCAAAAGGTCTGGTTAAAATTTTGTGCAAATTCAGTTTGATGGGGCTTGGCAATTTCACACTATCATCATGGAAGAGATTTCAAGAGAGGCTCCTCCTGTCTCCAGGTGAAACTGGCTTTTTTTTTTTTTGCCTGGAGACTTGTTCTCTGAATTGTTGCCACAGGCTACTAGAGCCCACCTGGTATAAGTTGCCATATGTGTGGTTAGGAATTTGGCAACATTTCTTTGCTGTCAAGGCTACAGATAAACACAAGTCTGTCCTATCCCCCCTTTTTTTTACTTTTGACTGCCTGAATTAATGCATTTTGTATTGATTCTCTAATGAAGACAGAGACCTGAATTCATACATTGCTTTTTATTTGCATTTTTACTACAGTTAGTTTCATTTCATCATTGCTGAAGGCCGTTAGTGGTGCTGGGTAACTTGTCTATGCTTCTGCTTTTTGTAGTTTTCCAAAGCTCTATACATAATAAATCAGGCACCCCTTTTTGCTTCTGCAATTAACTAATCCACAATGTAACAGGAGAAATGGAATTGATTGGATATGTCAAGCTTTAAGCCTTATGGAAAAAAATGCAACAAAATAATGAAACACTTTTGTCATGATGCCTTTCAGAATCATCATCCTCACTCTTACACAGATCTAGCCATGAAATTAGGATGGATAAAAGATTTTGCCACTATGTGCCCCTCCAGTCAATCCTGACCTGAGTTTGAAATGAACTTTTGGTGTGGCACGTTCATGTCTGCAGCAGACAGGGCTTCAGCTCTCTGCTCATCCCACCTGCAGACAGCAGCTCCCTCTGCTTCTCTCAAGGCACTTCGTGGTCCAGCAGCAGCACCAGCAGACACCAGCTGCTGGATGTAGCTACTCCACGGCAAAAACCTGTGGTTTTTTTCCTTGATGGAAACCTCTCAGTCTTGTTGCTTTGCCCTCCTTCTCTGAAGAAGGAAGACTGAAGCAAAAGAAGGTTGAAGGACGTTTCTCAGCAACATCTCTGAAGTTGCTGCCTGGCGCTGAGCCATGGTAGTCACTCAAATCCACATTAAGCTGTATTTCTACAAGGAAGTGTTTGAGCTCAGTCTGACCTATTTTCTGAAATAAGGATTTAAAAGTCCTCTCTTGCATAATGGGCTGTGTTGGCACAGCATCATGAAAGCAAAGTTGGATCCTGAGTTCCCTCTGTACCAGCAAAGTACTCCTGGCTCAAGCTACTTCTGCTAAGCCAAACCCCATTTGCTTTAAAATATGCTTGTCATTTATTTGGTTTAAATAGTTTCCTTCCTTGTGATGTTTTACCCTGTGAACTTTCCTTTTTCTTTTTTTTTTTAAAGTACAAGAAGCCATGGGCCATTTATTGTGCAGTTCATGCTCTCAGGTACTTCTGTTCCTTGCTGACATGAATTCCTTGTGCAGTTCAGACTCAGTGAGCTTTTGCAGTGCTGCTTTTCAAAGTTACACTGCAGAGACACTCTGCTCACACCCTCGAGCATGCAGAACTCCTTGAATCAACCCTTGCAGAAGGGAAAAGAAGCCTGGAAAGACTGAGGTTTACACCAGCTTCCTTACTAATTTTTTGTTTCAGGAGCCCTTTACTGGGTGCTGCCTGTCACATCAGCTTCTCCAAGGGGGAAATGATCCTCTAGGATTAGGTGCTGGAGGCACTTGTCCCTTCACTGCTCCTGTGCACTGCATAGAACAAGAGATTTGATATGTCTATAAAAAAGAAAAAGCAATTTTTTTATGGGCAAAATGAACAATTCTTGTACAACATCCCTCCTCCTAAAGACAAGGCACTAAAATGCTGGAATTTCCTCCAAATGGAGAAAGTGTGTTGGCAGTTCCAGCTCTGCAATTGTTACCCAGCTTCCAAGTACACCTACGAAATATTGCCTGCAGCACAACAGTGGAGATGATTAAAAGGATTTTTTTTTTGGTAAAGATTAAAGACTTTATTACCTCTCTGGTAAATGTAAAAATATTAATTGAATGAAGTATTAATTGTCAGTAGAAGAAGAAATGTGACTTAAAATGCATGTAAAGATGTCGGAATTTACAAATGACCTGATAATGTAGGAACTATAAAACACAAAAAATACTTAATTAAAGCATACACATTTGAGAAGGAAAATAAATGTAATTTGAAATGTTCTTCATTTTAATAGATATTTCCTCAACTTCATTGAGTCTTGGTGCTTTTTATTGTAAATAGCTCACATGTCCTGTATTTTCCATTTATTAAGCAAAGCCATTTTTGCTGTTTGTTTGCTACTCCCAGAACCTTCTTCGTAGGCTCAAGCGAAGAGCAGCTCCTGCTGAAGTTGTCTGTAGAATTTGGCAGCTGTTCCACACCTCTGAACTTGATGAACGTTGCAGAAAGGACTCCACAGGTCAACCCCAAAGTAGGCAACAACTACTCGGGGAAAGTGAAGGTGAGTTTTGCCCGGAGTGAAAATGAAAACTGAACAATTACTTCAGCATTTAACACCTAAAGAGGTGACAAGGGTGACACCAGCTTTTTCCTCTGGGTTAGTCCCTGCAGTGCCTTGAGCAGGTCCTTGGTGTACTCACTGCTGGCCCTGCAGATGTAAATCAGGAGGAGAACTGCCCTCTCAGATGAGGAAAGGGTTTATTTTTACTGGAAAGAGCAAGCTCTCTCTTCAGCTGTCACAGCCTGGGTCAGGAAAGCAGAAGGCTCTGTTTGCTGGGGAGCTGCTTTTCTCTCTGCTGGGAATTAGCCAGGCATTACTCATGGCTTTGCTGGGACCCCTCTTTGCCCTTTCCAAATAAATGGCTTTGGAAGAGGAGGGCAGGGCTGTGAGTCTTGGAAGGGATGAGGCCAAGCTTGGCTTGGGATGAGTGATTTACAGAGCTGGAAGGAAGCTCTGGGAGCCCATCTCCCATGGCTGAGCAGTTCAGCTGATCTCATTTCCCCCTGGGATTGCTGGGGGATGAGGCTTGGTGCCTGGGCACTGAGACAGCCGAGGGGCTGTGCCAGAGGGGAGGGCAGGCACATTCTCGTGCAGAGCAGAGGGACATTGTGCTCTCCAGCCCATCTCATCCACCTTTTGGGAAGCATTCATCAAAATCCTTCGTGTTTGTGAGGCAGTTGCGATGCTGCACTCCTCCTTCTGAGACAAATGGCAGAAATCCTGCCCAAGCAGGAGAGGGAAAGGCCCTATTCCTTATCCTAGAGCCAGTGGAGGTCAAGAGGCCGTAGCCACTTCCACATGAGAGCAGTGCTGCTGGCAGGATGGGGTACCTTGCCTGATCTCTTACCACCATGATGAACAAAATCCTTCATGACACATCCTTCCATGCCAGTCTGGATGTTCTACTAATGAAAGAACCCACAGGGATCTATGGAAAGCAGTGGGAATGCTTTGCTGCTCCCTTAGGACAGGATTCTACTCTGCAGTTCTTCACTCTCTTTTCTGTTTGTCACTGTTGTTTTCACCTGTTTTCACTGACTGTCCTCTCCACGCACTCTTTTCACTTGGGATTGGAGATATTTGCTGCTGTCAGGCCCAGAGCAGCCAGGGACTGCTCTGAGGAGCTCTGCTCATTGCAGAGGTGGGAACTGCTGACATACTCGAATAATGGAAATTCTCAAACTATTTTTCCCCCTGCCCTTTCTACACCAGATTCCCAACAAGTACCCTGGGTTCCTGGGTTAGTTGTGAGGAGTGGGCAGATGTTCAGCTTTTTTTTCCTCATACTTTTGAAAACTGCATTGGAACAGACCCTACAAAAGGGTTTGTACAGGCTCCATTTCATTCTCAGAGAAATGGAGGGTCCAATGCCAAGCTCAGACCCAGGGCTGGGCTGAACACTGCTTAAGGAGTGGGGATCAGGCTTCCACTGCCAGTCCATCTCCCATTTGGCCCTTCACCCCTGGAAAAGGGGAGGAAGCATCTTGAAAGGAAACAACACAATAACATCTTCCCGGTGATCTGCCATTAACTTCCGTGTGGGCTTAAAGCAATATTGCACAAGAACAAAAATCAGCAGATACTCTTCCAAAGGCAGTCAAAAACTGTTCTTTATCTGCTCAGATCTTTGCTGCCTGGGGCTATCTGAGTCATTCTTCTCACTAAAGTCTGAGGATGATTTCCTTTCTCTTACTGTGAAAAGTTTACACTTAGAAGACTCATGCATGAAGGACCAAAAGACATTTGGTTTGGCTGCACAGTAAAAGAATTTAGTGTCTTCATTGCTTCATTACTTTATCCTGGTTGCCACAGATCAGCTTCCTCACAGCTGCTGCTGCTAAAATCTGTGCTGGGGCTCTGTGCACTGCCACATGCTGCAAAATGTGCAGTTTGCACCAATTGTTTCCTGTGCTGGAGCAGCCTGCATGGAAAAACAAAAAATCTTTTCTCCAGTTCATGTTACTAAGTTTGTACCGTGTGGGTGTTTGTCTGTGTTTTCCTATTTTAGTGATTTTGAAAACTTTTCACAGGGCAAGAGGAAGCATCAGGGATGCAAGAGGAGATGAGGGATGAGGTGCTTGGGGAACACAGTCAAAGGCACAACAAAATAAAGCCCCAAGAGGAGAGGGATGGAGCAATGGGTCCCTTTTCCTGAGCCAGCTGAGGTGCATCCTTCTGCCAGCCTGGTGCAGAGGCTCTGCATGGCACAGGCTCCTCTCCTGCTCTGAAACAGGCCTAGCTCTTTCAAATAAATGTGTGGCTAGTGGGGGTTAAATGTTACATAAAGACAGGGTTTGTAGAGAGAGATAAAACCTTTAACAGATAAAGAGAGATGGTCAAGGAAATAAAATTGCATTTAAAACTTTCTGTAGATTTACTTCTCATAGTATTTAGCTTGCCTTCCTTGAGAATGTTTGTTTTTCCCGAAATCTTTTTTTTTTCCTCTTTTATTTTCAAACTTTAAAATGGTTGATTTTAGATTTTATTGATGGGAGGTTTAGATTTTACTGATGGGTGAATTGTACATAAGCCTTTGCTTTCACCTCTGTTTTCAATGGAAATAAGTGTATTGCAACTTCTTTACTGGAGGTGCTAACACTTTTTTAGATTGATTACTTAGTGAAAACTGAAAAATAATAACAATTCCATTAAAACTGGGACTGTCCCTGAACATGTCCTTTTGTAGAATAGACCCCTTTTCTCGGGGGAGTGAAACTTCTCACTGGAAAACTTTTAGTCTGTCTTGATTTAATTCTTGCCTTTTCTACATTTTGATTCCATTTCCCCACTGAATCATTTGCCTTTGCCTGTGCACCCTTGTTCCCCATCTGCCTCACTCTAATGGGAAATAAATTTCCCAGCTCTGTTCTATTCCTTACCATCCCATAGTCTTCTGCTCCCACTGAATCACTGGGATGATACAGCTCCATTTATAAATCGCTAAAAGTATCATTCATATTTTTCCCACAATCCCTTTTGACTGGTGTCAGATACAGAAACAGTAAGAAAATAAACCTCAAGGATCAAAAAGAACATCCTTGTGGCTCTAAGTGCAGTAAGGATGAGCTCCTTTTCCAGTAAGGAGGGATGATCTGGCTTCCCTCCCCTCTGCAGCCGTTTTTCTCTGGACAAGCCAGTCTTGGCAGTGGAGGATGGCACAGAGGTTGTTTCTTCTGTGGGCAGTGGGCACAGCACACCACAGTGAGGAAAGGCTGAGAGAGGTTGGATCATTCAGCCTGGAGAGGAAAAGGCTCTGGAGTGACTTTTTTGTGGCCCTTTGGTACCTGAAGGGCTCCAAGAGAGCTGGGGGAGGGCTTCTGCCCAGGGCTTGGAGTGACAGGACAAGGGGGAGTAGCTTCAAACTGGAAGAGAGTAGGTTTAGATGGGATTCTGGGAAGAAATGTTTCCCTGTGAGGGTGGGCAGGCCCTGGCACAGGGTGCCCAGAGCAGCTGGGGCTGCCCCTGGATCCCTGGCAGTGCCCAAGGCCAGGCTGGACAGGGCTTGGAGCAGCCTGGGACGGTGGAAGATGCCCCTGCCATGGCAGGGGGTGGAACAAGATGCTCTTGAAGTCCTTCCAACCCAAACCACTCTGTGATTCTGTGAGCCAGACCTAATTTCGATGCTCTGCACAGCCTTGGGGAGTCAGGACACTGTCAGCACCCAAAGGCTGGTGAGGGATCCTCTCTCTAAGGAAAAAAACATCACAACTTCTGGAGCTGCCTCTCAGCAGCACCAGCTCCCACAGCCTCACAGTGGATCTGGTTCATTTTCATCTGCCCTGAGACCATTTGCCTGCTCCCAGAGGCAAATGGCAGCATGGGGAACAAAATGCAAAGGAAAAGGGGAAAAAGCATTTGATTCCTGTCAGATAGAGGGAAATTTGGGTTTTCTCCTGCCTCCAGGAGAACACACTGTACATGGAAGGTGACCTTGTAGAGGGAAATTTGGGTTTCCTCCTGCTCTCTCCTGCCTCCAGGAGAACACACTGTACATGGAAGGTGACCTTCTGTCCCTTCCTGCCGTGGGAGCTGGGAGTGACTGTGTGACACATGTGATGACAGACAGACGCCAGCGTGAGCAAATTGGGCTTGAACTCGCTCCAGAGGAAATTGTTGCAAGGCTGGGCTGCACTAGGGAGAGCACAGAGCACAGGCAAACGTTTGTGTCATTTGCAAACGGCACTGCGAGGGGACACGGGAACAGATGAGCATTTTGAACTCTAATGGTTAATGCAGAGAACATAAAATAGTGCTCTGTGCTCGACTTTTGAAAGCTGAAGACTTTTGAAGACATTTGGGGGGAGTTTGGATGAAATCAGATTAATCACTACAATCTGGATTTTTCTTTTCTTTCATCTTCTCATTTTATTTTAAAGTTGATTTCTTGCTTGCTATTGTTTTCCTCACAAGAGGATCCTGAGTTTTTGATATTCACCAGAATTTTATTTAGTGTATATGCTGAACTTCATGGTATGACTGGAAATTAGTGAGGATGGATATGGAAGCATCTTAATGCTGTAGAAACTTTATAAGAAGAAAGCTCTAATCAAAAATCCCAGATGTAAAAAAAAAAAAAAACAAAAAAAAAAACACAAAAAAAAAAAAAAAAAAAAAAAAAAAAAAAAAAAAAAAAAAAAAAAAGAAAGAAGAAAAAAGCAAGACGTTTGAAA